CCCCCCCCCCCCCCTCCCCACGTTCCTTCCGTACCGCAGCACGGCAGAGCTGTTCGTGATGTGCTGTTCGCGTAACCTCTCGGTCTGTGAGATGGGCCCCAGCAAGCCCGAGCCCTTTACGGGGACGGAAGGGAAGGCGGACTCGTACGAAAGCTTCGCCAAGAGCGACATCGTGCTCGCGCTGCGCGGACACCCGGGGTGCGTGCAGGACCTATGCCGCTGCCCCCGCGTGCACGAGGAGAAAGGGCTCATCGTGCACAGAGAGAAGCTCCTCAGAGAGGACATACCAAAGGCGAGGAAGAGGAAGAAGGGTTGTTATGGTATTGCGAGCGGGGTGTTTTTCCGGCGTTGACCCCAACCCACCGTCCGTATTGTCGTCTTGCTTGCGAGTAACCCTGGGGAAGAATTAGACTTGGAAGAGAGGCTTGGGTATTGCAGCCGGTGTGATCAAACAAACCTGTCTGTTTTTAGTCCGACGGTTGCGTGTGCTCAGGTCTGTCCTATGCATGAGAGAAAGAGAACAATGTGTGCACCTACCTGCTTAACGGCTGATGGTAATCTGACATACGTTTTACGGCGTCTCAAGGTGGCCGATCCATGACAACAACTTGTTTTGCCATCTCGGCGTATGTACGTCTCTCGCCCCGCTCTGGTTTCTCTTTCTGGAGCAGCTACAGGAACAGTACGCATACCCGGACGAACCAGTTAGGCGACCAATCAGCATCGACACGCCTCCTCTCGTACCCGAAGAGGTCGTGCAAGAGACCGCTAGCGACGCGCTTGAAGTGTTGTGGAGCGAGGTGCAGGGGAGGAGCCTGGCGGTGTTTTACGGGTCGTCCTCGGGAGGCGGTGCGGAAGGCGGGGGCACGGGGGGGGGCGAGGTGCGGTGGGGCCGCCTCTGCGAGGCCATCGGCAGGTACTTCGAGAGACGAGTCCTCGGGGCTAGGATCCGCCGCCTCGAAGCTAGCGACTTCGATCTTTTCGCGTCAGATCAGGCCCTGTGGCGGCAGTCTGATGGGCCCCCTCCCGCGGAGATGGCGCTGCAGCACGGCGGGGACGTGGCCGGGGTGCCGATCTCCCGCAAGAAGCTGGAGCCCTTCTGGCGGTGGTTCTGGCAGGCGGTCACCACGCTGAGGCGGACACCGGCGTGGTCCACGGGGCTCAACGGCCCCGCGCTGGGCTTCGCCGGGTTCATGAAGAAGGAAACGGCGCTGGCCCTGCTCTCGAGCGAGGAGCCCGGAACGTTCCTGGTACGGTTCTCCACCAGCAAGCCGGGGGCCCTCGCCGTGCACTACGTCCGAAAACGCAGAGGAACGGTGGTCAGCGGGATCGTGAACGTGAGCAGCGCCGGGGCTCTGTCGGTCGAGAAGCGAGCGGGGGAGCGGACGTTCCACGACCTGGATGACCTGGTCCTGTCCACGGGGCAGCTCAAGTTCTTGCACCCCGGGTTGCGGAAGCAGGAGGTGTTTGCAAGGCCGAGGAGGAGAGAGAGCTGGTCGGCCGACGTCCGCGCGGTAGTGGAGGGGATCTCGCGGCGACAGTCCATGCCTCCGAGGTGATGGCGCGGATGGACGCAAGCCGCTCGCGACGGCGTCATAGAGAGCAGGCCGGCCGGCATTTCCTCCGGGAGGGGCTGGGTGGTTATGGGCGTCGCGCTAACCAGGGGGGGGGGTTATCTGCGGTGTGCGTGCGTGCTTTGGGATTGTGGTCATGTGTGCATACCCAAGTCGGGTCTAGCCGGTCTCTCTCTCTCTTTCTCTCTCGGATTGGAAGTTTATCGCGGACACGTGCGCTCGCTCGCGGCGTGTCGTTTCGTCTTTGTTTCGGTGCGTTTAATTTTCGGTTTCGGTTTCGGTTTCGATAGACTACGCCGGCCAAGGTGTTCACCAGACTCAAAACTTGTCTAGCATTTTGTCGTTGTAACACGTGTGTGGTATGCTTCTTGTGTCTAGTCCCAGGAGGTTCAAACAAGCGGGCAGCTCTGGTTCACAGCCGAAGAATGATCGATAGGTTTAGCGATCACTGGGCGAATGCCGCCGGCAAGCTGTTGGAGCGCTTGCTTGTTTGTGACATGGCCGCACTCCCCCAGTAAGGACAGGTTGGACATTTTTGTCGTTGAGGTCGCCCATCTCGTTGTACGTAACTGTGTAAGGCGTTTCTGTGTAGCACACTAGTCTTGTCATCGCCGTTTGTACGACGGGGAGCGGTTGAAGTAGATCCTCCGACCAACCTCCCGCTAATTATTTATGGATGGAAAGGGTGAAGACACTGATCACCGGGGTGTGTCGAGAGTAAAGCAACTTTAATGTTTAGATTTTGCAAAGTTGCAGACGGATCCGTGGGGGTAGTTTCTAGCACGGCGTGATGCCGCGAGAATCCAAACGCTGCAGTAGAAGTATCGTACGCTCTTGGAAAGTGCGGGAGGATCTCGTTCGAACCGAGCCCTGGCGTGCCTGCTAACCTTTCATGTTTGGATTACATCGCTCCCAGCAGAGCAGTGAGGCGCGAGGTGTGTGATTGCCTTCACGCGAATGCTGCTGTTGTGCGGGCGTGCATGTATGTGTGCTCGGAGCTCCACTTGAGCTGTTTTGTTTATATTTATACTGCCATGATAGTATTTTGGGTGTTTGCGGCGCCGGGCCGGCAGATTGTACAATGTAACATACGGCGACACATGAGATGTCCGCTCTCTGTTTTACGATTTCGGAGATCAAGCAGCTGCCCGCTGAGGCCCACGCTCGAACATAGATCAATTTTTCTTTTTTGTGTGCTTTGCGCCGGAGCACGTGGTCCCACGGCGACAAGTATCATCGCTAGCACTTAAACTAATTTAGGCGGTTCCTCGCCGCTGAGACACTTCGCAATGCCGTCGCCGCCGCAGCAGCAGCAGCAGCAGCAGCAGCTAACTCATATGTACCTCGAAGAGAGAGCGGAATCTTGCCCCAAGGTGAGATGATATGAGAGGTGAGGTTCACCGGGTCGCTCCAGCGGGGGAGGGTTTCCGGAGTATCTCCAAGCCGTTCGGGCACCATCTTCGGAGAACGCTCCGGAAACGTCCCCTGCCCCCCCCCCCCCCCCCCNCCCCCCGCTGTAGCGCAATATAACCGTTTTTCTGTTTAGGTCCCCACTCCACTCTGGGAACGCCCCGAAGGTGCCTTCTACAGCTCCTGCTTATTATCCTCCCAAAGTGTTTGTGGTGGTTTCAAAGGATGCATAGATACCACGCGTCAGGATCAGTGGATGTTGGGACGTAATGAGCAGAGAACGGACCGTTGTCTTTTCTTCAGCGAAAACAACTGCAGCTAAAAACCGAAAACGGTGTGTCCGCCTTGGGAGGTAGGACCCCCGCCGCTCCCCGTCCCCCTTCATCGTATCCTGCAGGGACGAGGATCGGCGTGCACCCCGACCGCGGGAACCACAGGAGACTATAGACTACTACAATAGCTTTGTACACGAGTGTTCTGCGTTGGACAAGTATTTGGGCTACTAGATTTCAAGGGGCATGTTTTTCTCTTGTCTGGATGCCCCCCTCGCCCCCCCGTCTGTTCTTCTGTGGCACAAGCCCCGCGTCTCCTCGCCACGTATGATATGTACGCGGACACCATCTGACTTAGTCTAGCAGATATTCGTGCATGGTGTTTTTTTCCATCTAGAAGTCCTCCATCGACTGCCCACTGGTCTTCTGCAAGGTCAAGTGCTTGCCGCTCGAACGGCCCATGGTTGTAATCCATCTATGCGTGTAGCCGTCGAGAATCATGAACGCATGCCTCTTCTCTGTGTCACGGACCTTCGTAAGCCCGACTTTCCGAAGCACGATCAACCGTGCCGGTTATCTTGTCTGTTCCATGGATTAAAAACGGAGACAGACTGGCACATCGGGCGCGGTAGTTATTCGAAATGTGGCATACGGTCACCATCCTCGACACAGTGCCGTCGTGACGTGTGCCCTTGCCTGACTTGCGGAGGGAACGTATGCAATTACAAAATCGGCCGCCGCAGCCTGCCTCCCTTGTTCAATGACGATTTCCGATCGGACACCTGTTGGCAGTTGCTTCACTTCGCGGGTCTGCTTCACCCTGACGGCAACTCCAGAAGTCGATGCCACACCCGGCGACAAACATTTCCGCTCGGACAATTCCGAACATGACGCTGGTACTAGACTCGACTAGAGTTGTCTAATCTACTATGGATTTGCAGCAGAAGGTTCCGGTTGCTGAAGCAGCTTCATCACGCACGTCTCAACAACTTTGCCGTCGACTCTCCCCCTCGTGGCCTTGAACGCTTGTCCCATGAAAAACTTGGACAGGTTCGTTTTTCCACTCCTGTAGCTGGCCAGCTGACAATACCCGTTGAAGCCACCATCCAATCCAGCGCATGGCAACGCCAACGGGGTGGGTGGGATCAACCGCGTAGCGGGGTTTGAGTTGGTTGCACGAGTGCTGCGTCTCCAGAAAGGCCAGGTCAAACACAAATAATCGAAAAATTCCAGCCGGGGAGCAACCGTGATGCCAGCTGCGGATACCCCAGCCGTCGAAGGTAAGAGAACATCAGGAAAACCAAGCGATTCGACGTCAACGTAACGTAGACTTATTCGAGGGTCGACGCTGCAGCCGCATATACCAGCACCTGCAGCCGCATACATCAGCATCCCCATAGGGGTCGGGTCGTATTCCCTTTCATGAATCGCTTGTTGGTAAGCTACAACGAACAGCGATATGCGAGAATAACAGCATACAGTCGTGCGGAGACAACGAAAAAGAGCGGCAAGAAGTAGGACCCCGCACACCTGCTTAGCGTGCCGCGGGTCTTGTACTATCCCTCGACACAGGGACTCGATTTCCGCTTGGTCCGTGATCTGCTTCAGGTCCTTCGCTTCGACTATCTCCATCGCGGTGCTAGAATGGTCCTCCTGCCGCCATCAAACCACAAAGCACGCAGCGCGGGTACAGAGCGCCATCAACAAGCGTTAAGGCTCACACGGGGAAGAGGGACATCGCGGCAAAGAAGGGGGGGGAAGCTTATCCAAATGAAGCCGGTATGGTTGCAGGGTTCCGATGGTTCTATCTACGACGGAGAGGATACTCTGCAACAACCAAAATGATGCTTTTTCGGAGATATCTCTACGAGACGGGACGATCCCAACGCCATCACTTTCGGCGCAATCACTGTCTGCTACTGCTAGCTGCCGAGTACTCGAGCTGTTGACAATCGCTCCAGGGTATGCCTTGCGCAACCTTCACACCGATGTCGAAGTAGGGGCTGGCGCCATCTGCAAACGTCGTCTTGAGACTTGCGTCAGAGCCTCTACCGGCTTTATTTGAAATCGGTCCATTGAAAACCACACTCTGCACGAGGATCAACGTCTCGACTCTCGCGATTGATGTTGCCCTCGCGCCATCGCACTGGGCCACAAGAAACATTGTACCTCCGCGACCAAACCCACACAAAACCGGTCCCGAGAAGCAAATTGTCGGTACAACCAGCACCACCGCCGGTCATCGAAAAACCTACGGCAAAACTTTAACTTCGCTCACTTATGCACTTCACTGATTGGGCCTGGGTTAGGGGTTACGGCAAAAACAGGAGTAGGGTTCTAACCCTAACCCCTGAAGGGTACGCACCAGCGCCATTTCGCGGAGCACGTTCTTGGCCGTCTGGCTGGACACCGTCCCCTCGGAGAGGAGGTCGAGCAAGCCTCCCAGCCTTTCCGCCGGGAAGCGTCTGCCCGAGGGAAGCCATGCAACGGAAACACGAACGAATTCATCGGCTTTTTAGCAAAAGGAAAAGACGCAGCCTCCTGCAAGAAGGTAAAAAAAGGGCTGGCGGGGTTGCCATGCCGCTGCTTTGCTGGTCTGAGTCGCCTCCCTCGGTTGTTATCATCGTTCTCATTTCGTCTACTGTTGAGGCCTACGGAACTGGTGAATAAATGCCTTTCGGCACGAAATTGTTTTGCCGTCGGCCATTGGTCGCGACGGCAAAAGATCACGAAGCTTCGCTGGAGCTTCTTACCCTTCGAATACCTTCTTTGCGGCGTCTTGAGTGACTTTTGGGCAAGCAACTGCTGTGCGTTGATTGCGAGGGAGCAACCACGCGAGAGGTTTGCACACGGCCGCCGGCAGTCGATCACACGGACGGATACAACAAACGGCATCGACAAAACGACAGTGATCGCAATTTTTCCTCGGTTTTCACCAAGTGTTCCAGTGCAGCCAGCGGCGGAACGCTATCAACACGACGACCCAAGCAACAGCCTGTGTTTAACAACAGTCCCCTTGAAGCAGCAACTTCGGGGTCCGTTGCAGGACTCTCCAAAACTAAGGAGTAGACAAACAAAAGGGCCAATTTTTCTCACCTCTCGAGGCCTCCTTCATCGCTGTCGCCGCTACCCAGCTGAGCTTTGAGCAGGCCGAACAGGTTGTTGGAGAGCCAGTTAGCGGCCACTTTGGGTTCTCGTCGGTACGGACCGCTGCCTTCGCCAGCTGCGTGACCCCTCTCTCTGCCTGTGCCATTCACGAGGTCCTCGTAGTAATCTGTTGGGTACAGCCAAGGGATGTGGTGTGGAGGGCTGCCGAAAACATAAGAGTTGCCGTGGTTGACGTCGTCGTCGCTGTCGTTGTTGCTAGTTTTACGTTTGTTTTGTTGTTGCTGATGTCGTTGTCCATAGAAATCATCATGACCGCTCTAGGCTATCCATTCAATGGGACATACAGCAGTCGGATCTGCGGTATGTATGTAAACACACGACGAACCTACGAGCAGGTGATCCTGCCGTGAAATGTGAGAATGCCCCGCAGTTCATGGCGAAGCATCTCGTGAGACTCTAGACACAGCAGACGCCCGAATGGTCCTAAGCCACAGCAGCAGTACCGGCATAAAACCAGCGCAGCCAATCAAGGGCTTCCTTCGCCGCGAATACCCAACGCCCACGTGAAGTCGAAGGCATGAACTGCTGCGACGAGAAGGTGTCAAGGAAAGAGGAATTGCTCATTCTCGGTGATGTCATCCCCGCTCCGGCAGAGTGGCTCATCGAGACAGAAGCTGCAATGAGCGCCACAAGCAACCGCACATACGCATGCAACAGTTTCACCGGGTATTGTAGCGGGGGGTCGATACTTACTACAATACACCGGGATTTGGGCCCTTCGTGGTCCAGGTCCTCTCCGCGCGCCCCCCCCCCCCCATCGGTGGGTCCTGCGGATTACCAAGTGCTTTGGCGCTGTAATGTCTCGCTAGCAGGACTGACGAGCTTTCATCTATCGGCCGACCGGTTAGCGCGGTCGGTGGTATCTGCACACGTATTTTACACACACACAAACACCATCATACACACATACGCTCACATCACACACGTACACATACCACAACCTCTACACACACACCACCACAAAGCACCTGAAGCCCCTCCCGCGGCACACACGATCAACCGACTCAGGTGCTCCGCGAGCCCGTACTCCGCGGACAGCCTCGCCATCGTCGCCTCGGGCAGCTCGGGCAGCGTCGCCCTGAGCGCTTCGACGTGCTCGTCGGTGACAACAATGGGGGGAAGGTCCGGCTCCGGAAAGAAGCGGTAGTCCACCGATCCCTCCTTTCGTCGGAGGTGGATCGTCTCTCCCTGTTGCCGGGGGGG